ACGTAACAAACATAAAAAACTGTTTCGAAATAATTATGTAGTCGAATTTGAATTTGACCATGTATTAAGGCTGGGCTGGTATTGAAAGGACGAGTTTTATTTTAGAATGCAGGCATCCAGAAACAGTTCTTCTTATTAATTTGATAATTATGTAAACAGTCTAATAAATCTTGTTAGTACAATCTTATAGTTAAAAAAAAATATTTTGTCTAAAATTTTTATTATAACTATCAAGAGAAAAATAAGTAAATATATTTTTTTATCACCAAAGTGTTACAAAACTGAGAACGTAGATTGTTGAACAGTTACGGTACGGTATCTTTTTTTATTATAGATTAGCCGCCTTTATTATTTTTAGCCTGACCATATTGCTTTGGATTTTTTTTCTACCATTTAAGTAGAAAAACTGTTCATAGTTCATCAAAATTGTTATACTTGATAAATCTGGGACCACAAAAACTCATTAAAGTTTAAACATAAATCTTTAGTTCGATCTCGCGCACCGCGGTCCACTCGTGCGCACGGCCCGCTAGTGACGTCACTCGGTGTCGGGTTTCTCCGCCGCCGCTGCCGCCCGCCCAGCGCCGTACTCGGCACATTACTTTCACTTGGCCTTGCCTTTGACTCCGTTTTAGACTTAGGACAACACTGGGCGGGTTGAGCTTTAAAGTCAAGAGAGTTGCTTCATTAGTCGTGCGATACTCGAAGACGCAACGAGGTTGTTTTACCTTAAAAAGATTTTTTGATCACATAATATGTTTTACCGGTAAATTGGTAAAAAATATTTTTTCAACAAAATACATAGTACATATTTTTAATGATTTCTTATTTTGCATATAGAAAAATCCTATTGAACGCACCTGAGACGTTTGATTTTTATAATTTTCTCTCGATTCTCTTATTTGTTAATTTAAAATTTTACGTCACACTTATTGAAATCACAATAAAGTTAGCTACTATATTCGTTACATATGTCTCAAAGTGCTGTTTTGTCTGAATCATTGGCCTTTTAAATAAGTTTTGCTATCGATTATCAAATATCGACTTATATTACCAAACAAAATATCTTGTAGAGTTCCACCGCTTCCTGTGTTTTTTTTTTTGTGAATGTAAAAACGGATACAAGTCGCTTTATTAATAATTAAATGGACAATTTCTTTGTCGGTAATTAAATAATGTATGGATATTTTGGTGGTATTTGTAATTCAATCACTTCATAAAAAAAATAATTTGTTATTGATATTATAAATACCCATCTCCTAAGGTTTTTTTTTAATATCTATGGTTTGAAATACATTGCAATCTTATTAATGGTTGTATTCTGTTTAAACATTGTGCGATAACGTGACGATAATCACAATAGTTTTCACGTAGATATAGTATTATACTGTAATAACAAAAACAATTTTTTTGGTCTATATTCGTTGCCATTATAATAAATAAATGAAAAGAAGAAAAAATATTATGATGACAATTCATAAATTTAATTAAAACAATGCAGTATTACCTATCTATCTATGTGTGTTGAGTTAAATTAATACAAGTTGGTATGTTATGGAGTTTTCGGAAGTCTGAGTTTGGAAAAGTAAACAATGATTAGCGCGTTCGGTCTGCGATGCAGAAGTTAAGCAACTTGCGGAAGGGCCGGCGACAGAATGAGTGACCAAAAATTTATTAACTCGAGCTCCTCCATGCCTCTGAAAGCACTTGATACCGTTGTTCCAAGCTGCTTCTGCTGTAGTTAATGAGTTTGAACATAGGAATAGATTATGCCTACATATAAATAGTGAACCTTACTTAAATATTATCAATGGAAATCACACCTCTTCATAAGTCATGTCTTTGACAGAAATTTAAAAAAAAAGAGTCTGTTTGGTATTTTAATTTCTTTTTTTTTTGTTTAATTTTGTCATTCGAATTATTCTGACACTATATTATTCTTTACTAGTAATACAAATTGTCTAATGAAAGAAAGGAAGTTACAGTTGTCATTCTTAGAATTCCTTTCCTCCGAACGATGACGTAGTCGGTACAAAATAGTAGTGCAATTTCACACGGGCCGTTTGCCGCGCGTCACCATGACGTCACACTCTCCCTAATTAGAACAGTAAACATCAGTCAGTAACTCTCAATCCAACTATATTTCACTTGAGAAAACAGCGGGCAACCTTTACGAGAAGTTCTGAAGATAAACCACTGGAAATCCAATCATTTAAAATAGAATCAACTCAATTATAACCTCTATAAGTTACATAAAGAAGTTGTGGTTTATTTATTTGAAATTCGAATAATAAATAATCGTTAGTTGTTTAATAGATATTAGGTTTTAGTTATTTAACCTTTTTTTAAGATGTTCGATATTGCTGTAGTGTCAAACGTAAAAACCATGGAATTTTTAATTTTGTTTATTTGTCTAATCTTTTTTATAATATTTCAATAAAAAATATGATGAACGTGTTTCTCATCATCATTGCGATGTTACTAATAAGCTGTTGAGTAGGTACTACAACCAAAATAATATAGATCTTTTTGACAGCTCAATTTTTCATCGTCTCAATAAATATTAAATCTAAAAAATATAGTTAAAAAATAAAAGTGTGAAATTTGTTGACATAATCGTCATATTTGTGTTACTTTGAAAACATGACATCTATCAACAAAACCGCGCGCAGAGCGCAAACAGCGTAATAATGTGTTTGCGCGAAGTCGCGTAACAAATCAAATGTACCTGGCTGGCATCACGCTAAAACTTAAATTGATTGTTTCCGACTAAATTATATTTAGTTTAAATCATAGAAAACAAAAACTTTACATGTTATAAAATGTATAAATCGATATTAATTAATTAATTGTCAAGTACGTAGTTACTCGATTGCATTATAAAGACAGACTAAAAAACCTCGTACTATTTTTGAAAATCCGAGTGCTAAAATCACTGCTGTCCAGGGACAACTATTTTCCCGTAAGTAAATCAATCATTCAATTAGAACTAAAACTCCAGTCCAATAGAAAAGTGCAGAATTGGGTCAGGGTTAGTGTTGCTCCATCGATAATTACCTTTGATGTCAAACCCAAACTAAAAGTCAATGACGTCGAGACGCCGATGTAACGTTGTATTCCTTTTATTTTTGATTTTAATAAAGTTTTCATTAATCAAATAACGATTATTACATGACTATTGATTTGGGATGATTTGAGTGAAAAAATCTTAAAAAGAATTTAAATAAATTTTTTTTTAAATAATGATTCATCGATTTAAACTTAGATGACAGCATAAATAAATAGTATGTACAGCATAATACTTATATTATGAAGAGTAAATCATTATTATTTGCATTGAATAGGCTCCGCTGATTTAAAAAATTCTTTTACTTATGGGATGAAGCCACATCATACACGGATGACAAAAGCTATAATTTACGCAGGCGAAGTTATGGGAAAACACACAGGGAAAACAGCTCTAAATATATTATGTTTAGAAATCAGCATAATATTTTTGAGAAGACAGAATCCTTCGATCTAAGAAGAAAAAGGCGCGTGCGCAACGTATTTTTCTATCAAGAATGAGGTCGATGACTCAGTATGTTATGTCAGCTCGATCGAAGCCACTATTTTCAGCTTTGCACACGGATTCAATGTCACGGTCCAAATCCAAAATATTGTGTAAATTTACCATTCCAGCATACATACATAGCATATTTTTGCATGCTACAATGAATTTTACTAACAGTGTTTTTAGAGCTTTATTAGCAACAGTAGAATGTAATGAAAATCTTCTGTGCCGTCCCATGATAACTAAATATTTTAATACTCGAGAGAAAATAGATTATTTTATTTTATTAGGAAAACAAACAAACAGTAATATTCAATTAAATACTGAAACGATAACTGTTCACCAATTACATGCTTTGATTTATAAAATTATTATTTTGTAACGCTTTAGTTGTGTGAAAAATGTATACAAAAAGAAAAAAAAACGATATAATACAATTATTAAATTAAATTATATAATAACATTTTTTATTGTGAGGGAACCGACTCTAGCCAAAAGTCTAATACGGCCTTTTTGAAAGCAGCTGAATTTGAACAGAAAATGTCCACATCAGAAAAGTCAATCAGCCGATTAAAAGATTTTGCCGACCTAGTAAAATATGAGCTTTATCTAAAATTTGTTGTACGTGCAATGGTAAATGTTGATTGAAGTCTTATTGACCTATCGAGGAATCGTAATTGAAGTTTAGAAAGAAGGTACAGGGAATCTAAATATGACCTTCGTCTAAAATTTGTTGTGCGTGCAATGGTAAATGTTGATTGAAGTCTTTTGACCTATCGAGGAATCGTAATTGAAGTTTAGAAAGAAGGTACAGGGAATCTATTTTTGATTAATAGAGAACTAGGTCTGAAGTTGTCCTTCTTGTATCCAAGAATGAAATAAGTTTTAATTACTAATTATCTAAAAATATTGAAACTATTTACAAATATTAAGTTTTAGCTTTGACCAGTTTAACCAAAATACATTGAAAACACTTCTCCAAATTATAGCATTGTGAATGCGCGTGCAGTGGGGACGTGAAAGGGCTGATGATGATGAATGCTAAATTGATACAACATAATAATAATATATTGTAAAATAAGTTCCATTTGTTTAAATAAAGTAATAGATGAAATGGAAATGCGATTTTACTTTATCAATTCAAAAATACACTTCATAATATCATAACACTTACGAAGTTAGTTCTTGTTTACACTGGACCTATATAACCTTATTTTCTATAACTATATATTGATAAATAATTACTACATTCAGTTGTTTATTTTCCAAACTATAAATATTATACACAGCCGTTAAGCAAACATCATAAATAACAGTTAATAGTCCATCGTGAAAAGCAACGTTTGACCATAAACAACGGAAATCAATCAGAGGATAAATCACGTTTACTGTAACCCCATCAAGAACTGCAGCCAGAACCTTGGATACGATCAATGAGACATAAACATAATGATGTCTGGCCACAAAGCCAAACTCAATTCTAAATGTGGACACAATACTTTGGCAACTAACTATTACTATTTTATTTCAGTTGTTCAAATCTTGTCACAGCGCTACATCGCTGCAATCACCCTGCTCCCTGTAACCCCTTTATTATACAAACCCACCCCCAAACCATTCCATTTTGAGTAAACAACCTGTGATAATAGTGACGAAATGGGGCTATTACTATCTGTTATAATTTCCTACGCTGGAGTCCTAGAAGCTATTGAGACAATAAAACACATAATGAGTGGAATGGTACCAGATACCGACCCAGATTTTCGAGATCTCGTCGAGTATTATTCTGTACAACTTCGCAAAACTGCAAATCCATCTTCGGTAGCTGATTGGACTATGGAATGCGGTCAAGGATATCTCTGTCTGCAAGATGATGAAAATAATAATTTAAAATCAGCAGTCATCAAATATTACAACGGACAGTCTGACTCAACAGCTATACTGTTCTCTACCAAAATCTCCAGCTTTGGACAAGACTCCGTCGAGGAGAATAGTATCTCTCAAGCGAATGGTGACTACAAACCCGAAAGGTACATACCGACAAAAACTAAAACAATCATATCGACAACGTCTGAATCGTTCAATGTTGGAATGAGAAACAGATCACCAACGCCTATTGAAAACGTTTCAGATCCAAATCATTATTCGGCAAATTCTTTCGGGCATGAAGATGACGCTGAAAGTGCTGAAGCTAAAGATAAATTAACTTGGCATTACCGCCCTCTAAGCCCCACCCCGCAAACGCAAACACTACCTGAAATACATTTCCAATCTTTCGATGAAAACGAAAAAGGAGTTTACAGCGAAGACTTTCTAAGGTTAATATTCTCTGATTTAGAAATGTATCATTCACCTGTAGAGTCACACAAACACCGATCAGTTGTGACTTAGCACCCATCCATCACGTGTTGTACTGAACTTCATTAATTGTCACCGCTGCACGAGTAGAGAGCTAATTCCGAAATCATTGCTTCATCTGTACTATAAACAACTCATTTATTGTAAATTTGTTTAAGATCACTTGATGGAATTAAGTTTCGACCGTTACAACGAAGCGACCCGAGTGGCAGGCGCAGAAGTTTCAAAAAGCGACACTCTTCTTCGTCGAACTCTTCTAGAGAGTCGCGAGCGTCGCGCGAGGAAGAGCTTAAGATGTTTACGTCACTCGAGGAAGCTGAATTTGAGCGTATGAATAAGGATAATAGTACCGGCGATTTCGGAAGCACTCCTAATCTAGCGGCGCGTTCTCATTCCAGAAGTCGTTCCCGGGAAAATTCCAGGGAGCGGAGAAATGAATCCTGGAGCGTTGATGCATCGGTCGACAGCGTGCAAGACAACGAAATTAGTACAGAAAAGCAGCCCTCATTGAAAGACTTACCGAAACTCGACTCTTTCGAGGAAGAGAAAGACGACACAAAAGAAGAGGTAACGGAGGAAGAGGAAGATGTAGATTTCTGGGGTAGTTCCTGAAATTAGTGCCGCTTATTGGACATTAACGTAGCACGCAGTGTTTATTAAGCTTAGAAATGAGCATGACTGAATTTGAAAACATTAAACTATTTTAATACCCTGTTTTTGTTTGTTTTCTTTATCGTACTCCACTGGCGTATCATTAACTTTTTACCTCCTTTTTTTCAAACTGGTGGTTATTAAAGCATTAATTCGTTTGGCTTTTTTATAGAAACATCATTGAATCGATCAGTAATTATTTTGATAGTTCTTTTTTTTACATAAAATTACCTATTTTTTGTAATTTCGTTATCTATCTTCTAGATCATTATTTAGAAATAAAGCGCTATTGAGATTGGGGTTTTATCTAGAAATTTTAGAAAATTGTATAAATTATCACAAGTCGTTATATAGTGTCGGCATCATAACAGTTACACAATGTCCCAAAATACGCTAACGTGGTATACACGGTGGACCTCGACACACTTCTGTCGAGATGACGCCTCGCTCACGACCTCTGAAAATGCGCCGATGAACTTACTGGCCGATATAAAACAAGCTAAATGAACGCCTCGCTTTTTGGCCCTTTGCCTAAAATGAGGATAGTAAAAAGTAAGGGCACATAGACAAATATGGAGGCTGATAATTGAGCAACTCTTAATTTTTTACCGAATTTAAGTGTGTGTCTGATAATTTAAAGTATACAAGTAGATTTTCGCGTTTTAAATTATTGATTTTACCCACAAAGTTTTATTTATTATATTTTAGTCCATATAAATTGCTAAGGTAGTTATTTTTTAAAGTTTTTGAAAATTCTACCTTTTACTTCCTTTTTAATACATGTAAACTGTTTTATTAACAACTCTATTTTTATCGACACACGACATTCTTATTTGCACTATCGAAGTTACGATTTCGAAATAAACCATAATATAATAAAGTACGAGTATATATTAACATTTACAAAACAACATTTACTTACAAAAAAATTATCAACTTCACAATACTTTATATCTTGTAACCCTGTCATAATAAAGCAATATTCAAAATTTAAACATTATTCATAATTTTCTTAATATTGCCTTGGAATTAAAAAAAAACACTTTTAATTGGTTTTATGTAAACATGCTACTGGCAGCGAACCAAGTATATTAAGCTTGGTATGATTTTCATTTAGATTTATTTAATTTCATAATTCGCTACTACATATGTAGTTAAAATTAAAGTAGTTAAATACGGAGAGAGCTTCCCCTCTGTTATTCCGTGTCAGTCCGTATGTATTATTCAGTATGTATGCGAACTTGTGGCTCGACAACCTTTTTTGCTTGTGTGTCACCTTAAGTACGCGTACTTTCCGTACGTAAAAAGGTCGTCGAGCAACATGTTCGAGTACTTACTCGCACTTCTATCATCCACTTTACATCACACATCGGATTAAAACAGTTTTTTCAATTTTCGTCAAGAAATTTCTTAAGAAACGTTTAGTCTGACAGATTAGTCAAGGGTTCATTTTGACAGATCCATCAGTAGTTAGGTTAACTCTTTGAAATCCTTTTTCAAGTGTCAAGTTACAACTCATTAAAATGTTCTTATAGTATTTAAAAAGAGCCCTGAAATATCGAGTTTTACCTAAATTTGTAGTAATCACTATAATAGAACTAGACGTAAGTTACATTTCACGGAGCCCGTGCCCATTTCCATAATTTTACATACTTCGAGTTGCACTGCACCAATTTTGCATTATAAACTATGACTCAAAAACCAAAACTATTATAACGCGATAAAACGGCGCCAACACATATACTTCCTGACAGATTTGCTTATAGTGTTTCCAAAAAGTTTTATTGTATTTTTATAGATCTATTTTTTTAAATTTCGTTATCTATTATGAATTGATTATAAACGTACGGAAGTACTGTAATAACGATGCGAATTCTATTGTACCACTCTCTAAACTGTTTCGTTTTATTTTTAATTCCATAGTCCATATGTACTCGAAAAAGTAGATATAATTATACTTCTGTATAATAGATTTGGCCCATCCTCCTTAACCATTCATAAGGAAGGCCTGAGCCCCTGCAGTGGGGACGTAAAAAGGCTGGTGATGATGATGATGATAATAGATTTCATTCTATTAGCGTAATTTTAACGCAGTTTGATAGTAAACCTATTTAGTAGTTAGTGCAATAGAATTGTTATGAGTAACTGTTACATAAATGAAAATAAAATCTTAGGATAATATTGTCTATAATTTGTAAATAAATCGAGGTGAATATATCAAATTCGAGGTGAAACATCTAATAAACCCGCTAATATTAATAATGAAACTTAAGATTACTGGCCGCAGACAATCAGGTTTCCTGCTACGCGTAGGTATACCGCAATCTGCCGTATTGTTTTCATAAGCTAAAATAATTTGTTGGCAGACTTTGGATGACTAAAGAATTATTTTTTATTTAATGATTAACGCCGAGAAATTTATGAGAACAGGTTTCCACGGTTTTAATAAAGTCTTTCAAGGTTAAAATGACCAAAAAACCCACTATCAAACGTATATTATTGAATATACTGTAAATAAAATTAAGAAGTTACTTTCGGATTTTCTAATTGTTTTGCGAGTATGTAAATAATCATGAAATATATGATAAAGCAAATACACTACATACATATTATTATTATGGCTCGATAAAATTAGTCGTTAGGTATATGCACTCGACATGACCTCATGTCCATCCAATGCAAATCAGCGATTTATACATAATTCTTCTTCATAGTCACTCTGATTTATTTCAATCACTCTTTAGTTGTCGCCATAACGGCATAACTAAATAAGTTTATTACATTGATATAGAATTTTATTAGGCTATGGTCTACAAATCGAAATTATAGACATTCCAATTATTTCATCCTATTGTTGTAATAATTTTCTAATTACAAAATTATTTGGTACTATCTATTATTTTCTTCTTTGTTTATTGTTTTGTGAATCTGCCATTAAAAATAGGTTTAAGTATATTACCAGTTATCTTGTTAATCATCTTATTATTAAAAGTAATACTGATGCCTTGAAGTTAGGAGCTCCTTTAGAGAAGTAAGGAGGCCCTTAGGAACTCGAGAACGCAATGGTTAGCGTTGTTAAGCAACTGTCGCGAGGGCGGGTTATAAGATGCTTGACCAAAAAAGCCACCCACCAATCCGCAGTGGACCCGCGTAATGGGTGGACCTATTCGATTTGATTCCATCTATTCGAAAGCCTGTGCCCCAGCAGTAGACCAGCAGGACATCAATAGACTGCTGATGATGATAATGATGACCTTAAAGTTGTCTCCCATTATAATAAGTGCATATAGTGGTGGCCATATAATTAAGAACGATTTGTAGTTATAACATGTTTTAAATGAAACTTGCCCTATGTCTTCAGAGGGCCAATTAGTTAAGATAAACTAAACTAGGATAGACATAAAATTATTAAACTTTTTTTTTGTAAAAGTATATTTTATTGTGGATAGTGTTATAGTATATGATAATGAAGCTGGATAAATAATTAGAAACGATACTCTTAAACTGTTGGTAAAATGTTTAAAATAAAATACAGAGTAATTGTTTCATTATAATATAAAAAATGTACAATAAATAAGAATTTAAACATATTTTAAACTAAAATTAATATTTGGTACATGTCCACGACTCTTAATGACTGCTTTACACCGACGAAGCATTGACTCTATAAATTTTTGACATTTTGAGAATACGTCGTATAGTTCCCTTAAATTAACACACAGTTGAAATGTTGCCTTTTTTTAACTTCACCTTAGCTGGCAAGTCCAAGACTGAAACGGATTGAGAGTGAATAAATATACATCTATGAGAATATTATGTATACAAGAAAACATTACGATTCCTTCACAAAAAAAAGTAGTGTTCATAATCTTAACACAAGAAATAAAGATAAACTTGCCGTTCCAAGCTTCAGACTTCAAAAAACCAGAGGATCATTTCTGGGTAAATGTATTGCTATGTTCAATAAAGTTCCACAAAATGTAATTGACCTACCCATAAATAAATTTCAAATTCATGTAAAGAATATACTTGTGAGTAAAGGCTATTATAAAGTTGATGATTATTTTAAGGATCGCAATGCATGGAATTAATAGCCTTCGCTTTGTTCTATAAAGACTAATTATATGTTCAACTTATGTCCTACAGACTTTGAAAGTTGTATTTACTATTGTGATAAATTGATAATACATATTATTTTGGTAATGACATGATTTATGTAAATGTCATTACTTATGATAAAAAGCTGATAAGTTTCTTTCGCTTGTTCTTCTTGTCAGCTAAAAGACGTCCTGAACAAGTGGTAGGGGAAAAAAGTTTTTTGGACGATTCAAAAGTGCTTGTAATAGCCTACTTGAATAAAGATATTTTCATTTCATTAAATTCCTTTTCCCAGCGGGCTCTATGTTTTGGATCATTATCATACAAAAATTTCCAAATACATAATTGGAAGAACGTCTTCAGCATAGCGTAGCATTGTTTCTTCCAATATATTTTTTACTGATAAAAAGAAGGTTCCACTCTTCATTGGATCAAAGATGAATCAGATCTACAAAAGCTTGGTAGACAAAAGTGACTATTTTTGTTTCTTATTGTTACGATTTTTGTTCGGCTAATTTTTTGCATGTATATTTTATTTAATCGTTTGAAATATTTTTGTATACATTACAATACAATGTACGACATGTCAATTTGCTGTGTTTCCAAAATTGAATATCATAAATATTATAATATAATGTCTTTTTCATCATATAGCACTATTTGTAAAAGTT